GAAAGAACAGCTCAGTTGCTGGACTGTTTGAAGGTAAAGGGAAGGAGGCAGGAAAAGTGTTGATAAGTTGAATGTGGGTTTGAGAAAGTGCTACACATTTTTCTTCTAATTGTTTGCCAGATCAGTCTAGGTATGAGAAAGCGCACATTTCTAATTATTAACATTCTGGGCTGTGGGAAGTAGTGTGTGATAACAATATCAGAATTGTATTCCTTTATGCTCTCCTCTATAATACTGGTATAAATAGTTTCTCTGGTGAGTAACCAGGATTCTGAGATAAGGCCCCTTTTTATCACAGCTGATAACCAGAATTGTATGAGATGGTATTGCTAACTGTTAGTGACAGCGTTTGATACGCGATGGGAATTCTACTCCACTCGCCCCCCTTTTGGACTTCCCAAATCCCCCCTAAATTGCTCGTCAGTGGCATTAGCACCAGGAGAATTGCTCCAAACTAGATTAGCTTTCCCCTCTTCCCTCTGGCTGACATCCCTTAAAACTCCATTTTTTTTCCCATTAAGTTTATTGGTACATTTTTAGGTAAAATACAGTTACATTCAGCACTGGGATCTTGTACCATTACATGATGTACCTTGGTTCTTATTTTTTTCCCCTTCCTCTGCCCTCCCTTCACCCCTTCCACCCTTCCCTATTTACAAAGACTTTGTTTCCATTTTTTTCTTTTCTCATATTTTTTCTTTTCCCTTTTTTCCTTTCCCCTACCCCTCCCACTTCCCCTGCTCCTTTAGACCTTTTCTTCCTGTTACACAATAAAACTCTATTTTCTAAAGAAAAAAATATCTTCAAAATTGCCCCCTTTCATATGTAGGGATGGTTAACAAGTCAGCCATCACATTTGTCCTGTCCTCTTATTCATAGCACTGCACAAAATCTATGTCACCCAAAGCCCCTCGAAGCTGCCCTCTCACCAATTTCAAGATACTATAAAATATCACATAATCAATTATGGAAAACAATGAAATGGAATGTTGGTGTGGAAAACCTCCTCGGAGAGTGTTCAAACAAGAAATGAATTGCTCAGGAGCAGTATTAACACTACATTCTGTCAAAGAGTCAGTCCAGGGGTCTTTAGCAAAGGCCAGCAGTGGGCACACCCCTGCAGGGCACTGGGACAAGGGTCAGAGGCTGATCATTCACTGCTGCAAGGAGATCATGGGCTTCTCCAGCACCAAGGAGATGCTGGCTTCTACTGTGGGCCGGGTACACAGACGAAAGGAGCCCAAGTGCAGGGGTGGAAGTAATTCAGTCATTTGTCTCTGCATTTAATAATCTTTTATTAAGTACTTCCATTACTACCAAGCACGGTGGAAGGCACTTGTCAGAGCTACAGCTTTGGGGAAGGTAGACAGATAAACTCACAATTCTGAGTGAAACAGAAATAATTGGAGACCTTCTTTTGAACACAGAGGAATAAATGATGACACGAGTAGCACACGATACAAACTAAAAAAGAAGTTGCTCATGTTGGGGTATAGATAGACATGGTCAATTTTACTTATTCACAGAATTTTGAAGGAAGCAGAGAGAGTGGAAAATGTGCAGATTTTGGAAGTGTATCCTCAACATTCTAAAAGAAAAGGATACAAAAAGTTTGATTCTTATTTTATTTTTTAAATGGTAGTAAAGTTTTATTAAAGGTACAGAAAGAAAAAGGCTCTGCAAAGCAAGTTTAGGCCAAGTGAAAGCAGGAAAAAAGCACACCCTACAGCGTGAGGGCAAGCTGTCGTGAACAGGTAGTGACAGCACCTGACTTAATTGTGGCAAACTCTGTTAGTATGATGTACACAAAATGTAAGCACCATTCAGTGCAAATAAAGAGGAAGGCACTGATGAGATAACTTTAGAAGCATGCATCTCTTAATGCTCACTCAGCTTTTCTTCTTTTCCTCACGGCCAGCAAATACTCTTAGCTCTCTCACTTTTCTACCTACAAAATGAGGATCATAAATTTCTCTTTCTTTCTTTCTTTCTTTCTTTCTTTCTTTCTTTCTTTCTTTCTTTGTTTTTTTATTTCTTTCTTTCTTGGTGTCCTTAGGCTGGAATTCCTTTTCTGCATCCATAAGTCTATATTCCCTGCCCATCTGAAAATTCTGTGTAACATACACATGTGCAGTTATTGTTTCTGGGAAATCATTTCAAAGTACAGCATTCTGGCCTTTCCTGAAAAGAGTGCTAAATAAATAAGCTTCATATTATATGGGGAAAAAATGAATGAAACCAAATTAGCACAACATTCTTTTCTGTGAACAGATTTATTGATGTTTCTGATGGAGACAGCTTGGGGATGCCTTTTGCTAATCATGGAACTAGGCTGTAGCTTCAATCTATGCAATTGCTTTTTTCCTTCTACAGAGAACTTACATGGCTTCCCAGTGTGGAGCCTCTGTTATTTTTCATTTGTGTGTGGGCTTTTCCACCTTTTATCTCCTTTTATCCTGGCCAAAAGACCCACTTCACACATTTTCAGTTGAGAAAGTAAGGCTTGAGAATTAAGTCACTTAGCCAAGCTCTCACAGACAGAAGGTGGACATCTGGGCCTCAGATCCTTGCTTTTCATCCACGCTCAGGGCTCTGACTACATTCACTATGCCTGGCCCCTGTGGAAATAAGTCAACCATGACCTCTTGTCACTACTAGTGTATCAGTGGCAACGATCTAGAGACCCACTGAACAGCCTCTTTAAAAAGTGCTTGTTGGGCTCAGGATTCAATTGTCCCGCTGCTTGCTTTGCAAGTGCAAGGTCCTGAGTGATCCCCAGTACCAAAAAAAAAAAGGAACGCTCTTGTCAGGATGAATGTAATCATTAAATACTGCAAACATGTACTAATAAAAATTTAAAAGTGAATTTGTTAGTGAGTGAAATCAATTTAGTCTAGAAAATTCTAGAACCTTTATTTTTATATTTATTTATTTACTTATATATATTTGCCACACTGGCGATATGAACCCAGGGCTTTCACACAGAGTTACATCCTCAGCCCTTTTTATTTTTTATTTTGCAACAGTCTTGCTAAATCACTAAGTTGCCCAGGTGGGGCTCAAACTTATGATCCTCCTGCCTCAGCCTCCCTGAATACCGGGATTATAGGCACGCTCAGCTAAAAATTCTGATATAATTTGGAGACAGCCTAGGTCTTGAGAAGAAAGAGAATTCTTCAGGCATAACCAGGCTCCTAAGACTCCGTTTTCTCATCTGAAAATTGACTATAATGGTACCAGTTCTTCTATCTTCCAAAGCATATTCTGCAAGTCAAACCTAAATTAATACCCAAAACTTGTTGGAGATATTCCACCACTTATGAATCTCAGGTGTTATTTTATGAACATCAGCTTTGAACCGATTTTTGCCAGGTTTACACCCAAAAGGAAAAAGTGAACGATTACAAAAAGCTATGGAAAGGGATCAGTGTTCCCTGCACACTTACACTATGGGTGTGTGGCCTGTACGTGAGATAGATTCATTTTTTAATCGAAGAATGCGGATGCAGTATGCCCTCTGTGACACAGCAGTTTCCATTCGAATCTTCATAGCCATCCTGTAGAGGAGACTCTGAGCTTGGTCTGCTTTGTGCAAGGACACTGAAGTTTAGGGGGTTTGTGGGAGAACAGTCTGAATCATCAAGCAAGTGCAGGGCAACACCGAGAACACACTCGTTCTGTCCAGACTGCACAGCCAGGCTCAGGTAGGACTGACAACAAACAGCGGCAGTGAGTGCCTCAAGCCCCGAAAGCCATCGAGGCTCTCATTGTAGTTCTTTTTCTCATACATGCTCTTGGTTTTCGAGATGGCTAATAGTTACGCGATGTGATCAAAAAGTACAATGAACATTAAAATTAAATACAACAGTAAAAGACCCATGGCCACTAACCCTCCTCAAAATACTCTCCCTCGTTTCAAACACACTTACCCCATCCTTCTTGTCACTTTCTGAAGCAATTCTGGAAAGTCCTCCTTTGTGAGTGTGTTCTTGTGCTGTCATGGATGCAACAATGTCCTGAGTTGATTCAAAATCTTTACAGCAATTTCTGTCACATAAAAACAAGACAGTGTGTCATCTCCCAGTTTATTCCCCAAATCTGGCATCGTTTGCGATCTGGCTCTTCCCCAAAGTCAAAATGACCATGAAAGTTAAAACCTTTTGAATCAATTCAGAACATCAAGGTGGCCACAACAGCGCAAGACACAAAAAGAGCTTCCAGAACTACTTTAGAAAGTAGAAAGAATGATGGAATAAGTGTTTTAACTCTAGGGAGAATATTTTGAAGGCAATTAATGGCAATGTCTTCTTTACTCTGATAAATAAATTTATTTACTTAGTTTGAGACAGAGTCTCACTATGTAAGTTCAGGCTGGCCTTGAAGAATTTGTGATGATCCTCCTGCCTCAGCCTCACAAGTGCTGGGATTACAGGTGTGTGCCACCAGGCCTCCCTGATAATTTTTTTAAAATCACCATATTTATCACACCTAGGTACAATTTCAGCTTCAATGTATTAACTTTTGTATATGTGAGCATTGGCTACTTGAGGTCATTCTTTTTTCGTTATTGTTCTATTTCTCTGGTACCAGGGATTGAACTCAGGACCTTGTGCTTTCGAGGCAGGCGCTGCACCACTGAGCTAAATCCCCCACCCTACTTGGGGTCACTCTAATGGGATCTGTTGAGGACAAGGCAAAGCACTTGTAACTCCCACAACCTCACTGAAATAGTCCTATTAATGCTAGATAAAGCAATCTAATGGAGTGCCTTTTCCTAAAGCTCATAGATTATAAATACTTAGCTTAAGTATTCATATGTTTCCTATAAAGTGTGTGGCTAAATGAAAATAATTTTCACTAGCAGTGCTGTAAATTCTGAGCGTCTGTACTCTGGTGCTCATTGGTGGAGACCTCCTTGCTTATTATTTGTTCTCTATTGTAGCACACAGTATTGTGCAAAAACAAAAAGGTAGTGGATAACTATTCCTTTTCTATTACAGGTTGATGACCAAATGAAGCTGCTTCAGAACTGCTGGAGTGAGCTCTTAATCCTCGACCACATCTACCGGCAAGTGGTCCATGGAAAGGAAGGCTCAATCTTCCTGGTTACTGGGCAACAAGTAAGTACAGAGGACCACCACCCCACCCCCCCGCCACCCGCAACAACATCGTGTTATTAAGCATGTTCAGAATGGCAGGAATGTAACTAGGTCAGAAGCACTCTTGTGCTCTGAAAGGAAGAGATTGGCTGGGAATAATTTAGAAAAGATGACTTGGTGCACTCAGTTCCTGCTCTGATGATTACAGATAAACTTGTAAAAGCAAACATAATCACAAGCATTCTGTTGCTTCCAGTATGTGGGGATGGAAAGTTCTGCTTCCAGGGGTCAGAACGGTTGCTAAATCAAATTCAGTGATTAGTACCGAGTTTCTTTTCCCCTCGAGCTTCTGCATTAACCTGCCGTGTTTGCTTGCTGACCACTTTAAAACCTTAAAAATTGTAGAGTCCTTACCATGTGGGAATGCTATTGGTGGGATAGCAAGTCAAATGTCACATACAGTCAAAGTAGTTGGCATAAGGGCCAGCACCTCCAGTGTTCAAGAGCCAGTCATTCAGAAAGAAAATAGGAAGAAAATATTATTAAACTACTACTTTCTGAATAGGTATTCAATCAAGAAGTATTTATAGAACATCCTGTTGTGTGCTAGTCAGTATTCTGGGGATTTGACACATTTTAGTGAACAAAACAAAAACATTTTTCCTCATGGATAAACACCATCAACAACTTTATAAACACGCTGGGCATGGTGACTCATGCCTGTGATCCCAGCACCCAGAAGGCTGAGGCAGGAGGATGGTGAGATCAAGGCCAATGGTTTACATAGTGAGAATTTGTCTCAGAAAGAAAAAGAAATCCTAGTTAAACAAACGTGCAGTGTCTAAGAAGCCCAAGTGCTAGGAAAGGAAAGGGGGATTCAGCACACATTAAGAGATGCATGTTGTGATGTGATCCATGGGTCACAGTAGATTTTTTGTATCCATGTTTTAGTTTTTGAAGTATCAAGTTTCAAACCCAGGACCACCCTGCACATGCTAAGAAAGCACTGTACCGCTGAGCCACATGCCAGCCTCTTGGACTGCAGTGTTAAACAGGAGAGTTGATTAGGCCCTCTGAGAAGATGACATTTGAGCAGACTTAAAGGAGGGGGACAGCCATGTGGATCATCTCAGGGAAGAGAGAATCTATGTCATGGACCTAATTCAACTGTACAGGATATGGGCAAATCCTTCCAGTTTCTTCCCTCTCTCCTGTACCTGATGGATTAGTGAAACACACACACATATGGCCCCCCGAGACTGCTGCAGCCTGTCGGGTCATCCTGATGCAGGTCACCACTGCCTCATTCAGCAGTGATGACTTCAGAACTTGGGCACTATGCGCTTTTACATCCAGCCATAAATGTTTATGTGCTGTGAAACCACAGCAGTGCATATTCAGAAATGAAAGGCTGTCTCCACACCATTTGCTGTGTTATTAATAAATCACACTTTCCCAATCAAATTAAAGGCAGGCTGCCTTTCAGAGTTTTTGCAGATTGGATCAATTCAACCATCTCCATCAGTATCTGGTTTCAGCCTCTCGAGAAAAGCTCTCTAGACGTGTCTTGTGCTTTCAGATTTTGCTTAGCATTTTTAGCCTGTGACCCAGGTCTTTGGAAGAAATGTACCCATTGTCAGAGTCTAATCTGGGTGCACGTGCCTGCTGCCTCCCCTCACCCTCGCCCCACCGCAAGCTGCATTAGAAGGACCAGGCTCACAAATTAATTCAATTTCATTTCCTTCAGAGTTTTAAGAAATAAAATGGGCTTGTGCCTTTCCATCCCTGCTCTTTAGAAATATTCCTTTTTGCACATTTCATTTTGCCTTAAGTGCTGCCCCTGGGTAAAGGTAATTACTACTTAAGAAGTAGAGAAAGTGCATTTCTTGCCACTCTGACTTTCAAAACCAAGAACAATCAAGGGCTAAATAGTATCACAGTCTTTAGTATCAATTATTGCTGCTTTGTATGTTGCATCAGAACTGAAAGAGGGACCCTCCTGGTAGAAAAGGAGTCTTTCCCACGCACCTTTCCGCCCACACCAAATCTTCCAGCTCCCTCCTTCCCTAGTACACCAGAGTTCTTTTCATCCAGTCCACACGGACTGCTGGCCTAAGGATGACGCCTTATCATCAGACATTCTCATTTAGAGAAATTACAGAAGAAATCTTTTTTCCTTGGTGGAATAGGAAAGTCAAGGCATTTTGAGTGTGTCTGGGCTTCCTGGCTTCCCATGGAATGAAAGCAAAATCACAGGTGACCTATCCAACACAAGGAGAAAGATGTTTGATTCCTCCCCCCCACCTCCTGGGGATCGAACCCAGGGCCTCATGCATGGAAGCATCCACTGAGTACACCCCCAGGCTCCCAAAGATGTTTGAAAGCAAGGTCATACAGATCTACCTTTTTTATATCTCCATAGCATTTACTATAAAGCTGAATATGTTAGGCATTTGATTAATGCTACCTGATTGCACTCAATGACAATTATCACATCTCTACCTAAATGCTCAACCAAGACGGTTGACAAAGACTCGGGACCCACAGAATCACCTGCACTGCGTTCCTACATCTTTCTCATACCCTCTCTACCTTACTCCCATGAATCTGGGATACTCATGGTGTTTTCCACTAAGAAATCACCTTCATACTGCTGCAGACTATTTTCATGCCCTGTGGCACAGGGAGATGGGTAAAAACTCTAATTTTCTTAGAATGGTAAATATTTCCCTGAAGGTAAGGGTAGGGGCACTAGATTTTTAATCAGATCAGCATCGGTAGCAATAATATTAAATTATTTGGTATATACACCAATGATAAGATAGTTAAAACACAGATGAAAGGAAGGAAAAGAATAATATCGAGTGTAAGAGTAAAGCAATATTCTGAAAAAAATTATTTTGACAAACAGAAATATATGGAAATAATGGAAAAGAGAAAGAAAACCATTTCTCTTTGGTACGTTTAACGCCTAATAATAATTGAGCTATAGGAAGAGTATATTATTGTCACTACCACAGACTGCGTGCTTTGGGTCTGAAAATGGTGTATGTGTGTGTATACACACTTATGTGTAAAGCAGCATTTGGAGTCTGGTTTGGAGCCGGAACACCCTGTGTTTGTGTCTCCATCCAGAACCAACTGGCTTTTACTCTTCAAGCTTCTGTGTCCTCACTGTCCCTTGGGGATAGAATGCCACCCACATGAGAGAATTATGGAGTATAGTTCTGTAAAGCACTGACAATGAAAATTAGAAGCCATCACGCGCTAGTCTGACATTAATGATGTCAACTACCATGGAAAGGAAATATTACCATTCCTTTTTTTGGAGATGAGGAGAGTAAGGGGAGATTAAGATTAAGTAAGGGGAGATTAAGTATTGACTCAAGGTCAAAACTCACAGTGGGGTCTGGGCATTCTGGCACCCAGCTTGGATTCTTATTTTGTTTGGCTTTTGGGATGGGGTCTCAAACCCCTGGGCTCATGTGGTCCTCCTGTCTCAGCCTCCCGAATGCTGGGATTACAGGTGTAATCCCACCACACCTGGCTGGGAATTTGTATTCTTCATCGGCACCTTCTACTGCTTTTCTGTGTAACTCACAGATACTACACAGCTTATCTTTGCCTCAGGCTTGCAGTTTGGTGTTTGTGTATAATTTCAGTGTGTTAGAGCCTCTGTGGGACTTCTAAACATAATAATTCATTTCTCTTCTGTTGGAAATAAGTGCATAAACTTTTTTGTTTCTGTTTTTTTGCGAGGGGGGTGGATTTTTTTTTTTTTTTTTTTTTGGTACAGGGATCGAACTTGGGACCTTGCACTTACAAGGCAGGCAGTGGAAGCACAGAACTAAATCCTTCGCCCAACGGGGAGGATTTTAAACATACTCTAATGGTAAATATAAATTATCCAGAAGCAATTTTAATGTGATCACCACTTACTATCGCAAAGCTATTTCAGCAACAAGAAAAAACTAGAAATAAAATACCATGGGTTGGAGGTGCAGCTCAGTGGCGGAACACGTGGCCGGCCTGCACAGGGCCCTGGGTTTGGCGCCCAGCATGGCAGGGAAAAAGAAAGGCAGAGAGAAAAGAAAATATCACTCAAAATGCTGCCACTCTAGGTCGATTGTTTTTGTTAGTTCTCTTCCAATCTTTGGAAATGATGTATACTTTAAATGAAGGTTTTTCGACTTTTTGAAAATAAAATAATCTTCAGCCAGAGAGACACATTGTCCTGCTTCTGTGGATTTGTGTGGAGCACGAACTTTCAAGCAATGATAAAAGCCTGTTTTTGTAATGCACTGTGTCAAGAGAAAATAAAGTAAGTGTCATTGTGTCAATAAAGTGTACCGCATTCCTCCAAGAAGATCGAGGGCACTCCTCCGTGGGCAAGGAGGAGGTTTAGCTAAAAAGTATTTCTAAGAGCCTGGTAAACGAAGGGAAATTGAAGACGAGAGGGCTGAAAGATTAGGCAGAGCCCTGCAGTCAGGAGTGATGAGAGACACGATCGCCCCGGAAGGATGCCCACAGTGACGCCCCTTGCATGGGACCTGGGGCGCGGTGCACGCTCACAGGTGGACCCCGCAGCTCGGGGCAGAAGGGGGTCTCCAAGGTGAGGAGGAGGAGTCCGAGGGCTCAGGCTTTCTGGGCTGCCTGATGATTCAGCTCCCATGAGGAAGCGCTTGCTGGAAAGAGAGGCTTCGCGGGAGGTCACACTCTCCCTGCAGACCGGAGGGGACACCAGGGCTTCAGATCTTTGTGAAGTGACAAGGAATGGCTGGATAGAGCTTTAACTGGACCTCACAACTGTTCAGCCACGCCCCGAAGAAAAGCAGTGCAGCACTCCTAAGTCAATCACAAACTTCCACGTTTGCTCATAGAACTGTTCCACGATGGTTATTTCTGGAACAAATGAAAATGTTCATCGGGAATATTTTTAACTTGGCAAACAGTAATACCACTTCGAAACCTGGTGGTGGCGTCCCCCTGTGGCTTTGTGGCAGCCCCACCCCCGGACAAACTGAGGGCCTCAGGCTCCACAGCCAGGTCTCCTGACTTTTTCCTATGAAGGCCGCTTACTGCAATGTGGCAAGTTTATTAAAGCAGAGGGGGAAGAAAAAGACTAGATTGAATTTTTAAAAAGAGAGGTGAGCTTGGGCTCTACCTCAGTGATAGAGTACTTAACCTAGCATGCATGAGGCCCTAGGGGAGAGAGAGAGAGACAGAGAGAGACGAGGTATCTCAGACATGCTGCTGTAGAGTTTAAAGAAAGACAGGAACGTTTGATATAGAACGTAAGTTTTCTCTTAAGCCTGGGGGCTAGCGAGTTTGCTTGATAGTTATTGCCCAAATTGAGTCCCCTCCAGACTTAGAGTAATGGAAATAAATGTTACTGCAGGGTACTTCCGGCACACCAGTGCCCAGCATTGAAATGAGGATTGTGTGTTTTACACTAAGTCGTTTGTTTGTTTTTTGGTTAGTTTTTGTTTTTATGGTATTAGGGGTCAAACCCAGGGCTTCTCTACCACTGAGCTACATCCCCATGCCTTTTTTATTTGAAGACAGGGTCTCATTAAGTCCCTGTGGCCCAGGCTGGGCTGGAACTCATGATCCTCCTACCTCAGTCTCCCAAAGTAGCGGGGATTATAGGCATGTACCACTCAGCCTGGCTCACATCATAATTGTTTAATGAACACCGAAGTGTGCTATTACATTTTAATTTTATTTTTAAATTGTGTCTCTTAATCAGACATCTACATAAATGTACACCATGTAACTTTACTGAGGAAAACAAAAATAATGATTATCAGTAGCATCCAGCACTGTCAAATCAATTCTATATAGTTAGTATCTTGTATTTATGACAGGACTTTTTTCTTCTAGTATTTAAAAAAATACATACTACGTGCACATATCTTTGTATATAAATAACAGTAAGGTACTCTGACATAGGGTCAGATTTTAGTATTTGCATATTGTAACTAATTAACAACCACTGTAATGTCTTCCTCAGGGAAAGGTCTAGTGGCAACTTATTATCTTCTATTATTGTATATCATTAAAATGACAGGCATCTTACAATATACAAGTCATCAAAATTTCAGCGACTAGAACCAAAAGTAATTTAGCTAAAACCGTTTCTACCTTCGTGATGAGTGAAATTTATCCAAAGGGGACATCAGTTTAGAGAGTATTTCTTCGATATCCCCCTTGAATTTAATGGCATGAAGATTACATGTAAGAGGGCAGTAAATTAATTTTACTAAGTACATAAAAGACAAGGCCAGCTGCTCCTGAAATGAGCACAAACTCTGCATTCAACAATGAAAATATAATTATGTTTGTCATAAAATATAAGGAAGTTGCAGATCTGTGTGCTGTTTCAGGAATAAATCACCTGTCCCCCTTCAGAGTTGTGCAGTTTGATAAATTACCCTTGAAAGAAACCTTATCGGAGCCCCCATTTAATAAGCATGTTTGAGCCTTCAAATAAATGTATGGCTACAAAGTGGTTGGTATACCAGTTGATTTCCTGAGGCCCAGCTCTCTACATATATAATATTATGAAACAACTTAGATTCTTTTCAATTCTAGTGCGCTACACTCTCACGTGTGAAATTTTAGTATCCACATTTATTATGGAACTGTTGGAACTACACACACATCGAAATTTAATTAACATCACTCTTTTTGGACTGGATATCAAACCCCGGGCCTCACATATGCTAGTTAAGCACTCTCAGCTGAGCTCCATCTCCATTCTTTCTATATTTCATTTTGAGATGGGGTCTTGCTAAGTTGCCCTGAACTTGTCATCCTCCTGCCACGCCCTCCTCGGTATCTGGCATTATAGGCACCTGCCACCCTGCAGTGCTATTTACTCAATAATACCAAATTAGTGGATTCCATAGGTTTTCGCTGTTTTGTAATTCAGTCTTTCTGGTGTAGGCCTTCACTAGTGATTTTTATTGAAATGTACACTTACATATTAAGCTACACCCAGTGTTGCTGGTTCCACGCTTAAATTGGTAGTATTGTTTCAACTCTGATTATATCTTAGTGATCACCGAAGTAGGAGGCACTTCATTGTCTTCATCCAGCTTAGCTGCCTTATTTACAGAAGACAGACACCAGGGGATGGAGATGCTGCCTGAACTGCCCAGGCCCTTTCTTTGCTCCCCAGGGGCCGCACTGGTCCAGATTTGTCCTGACCCAGGTGTCACCTGCCCAGGCATCTCCTCAGGCCTGCTCTCTTTCACTCATGGAGCCCATTTGTCTCTATAAACTCTGTATCACAGGTTTATGACTCTCATCTGAAATGCTGGGAAATAGAAGTATTTGGGATTTCAGATTTTTTGAGATTTTGGAATATTTGCATATCCATAATGAGATCCTGGGCATGGGACCAAAGTTTAAACACAAACTTCATTGCTCTTTCATACTGTACATGTTATGCCCCTGGTCTGATGATTATTTCCCACAATATCTTTAGCGAGTCTATGATTTGACAGCAACCTATGTTTCCCAGCAACGAGGTCAGGCGTGGGATCTTCCTTCTCCTTGTGGGGTCACGCTGGCATTCAGAAAATTCAGATTTTGGAGCATTTTGGATTTCAGGTTTTTGAATCAAGGATATCAGCCTGTGTTATTACCCAATGTGTAAGACTTGGGCAGATTTTAAAGAATTTAGAGTTTAGGCACCACTTTTAAGGGGGAGCATCTTTCTTGAAGTTTGAAGTTCCTCTGTGAGAGAGATGATGGGTGTCACCTTGCACCCTCAGCATGGCTCCTCCTGTCCCCTGCAGAGCTTGAAGCTTGTCTATGTCCCACCCAGTCAGGGTCCAGGCTGCCTGCACACGCTCTGACCATTTCACACATTCTCAAAGAGAACCCGAAAGAACGCTTAGAACACTTGATGTTTGAGTCTAGTGGGCAGATGCCAGCCCGCCGATGGACAGAGTGGAAGGACAGCGTGGTGCCTGGGGCAGGAGCTTTCCTAGAACATACAGCAACTGTGGCTTTTTCATGCATAGTTGACTCTCTGTAATCTGATTGACACCTTTGGGGGTCGTCTTTCCACGGACTCGTAATTTTTCTCACTCTCGAAAAAGGTTTCTGTACACTCGGTATTCTCTAGTTAGAGCTGAAAATTCAACTCATCATATTTACACAATAAAACAAAATCCATTCTGCCTTGTTTTTAATTGCAAATTCTACTCAGGGGACTAGTTCTCTTGCTTAGGAGGCAGCCCCATGCCTTCTCCTAGAGATTCGCACACAGTCAATTATGGTAATGAAATGTCAATAAATATAAAAATTTAATACAGTCTGCTCTGGGTGAGTGGCAGATGAGGACTTGCCTTCCAGACAAATTTGCTGCTGCTGCAAATATTAAATGCACCTAAAAGAGTATCTGGTTGCCTGAGAGCTCTCCAGGAAAATAAGGGTGGGAGCGTCAGGTAGCAGCCGGGCTTTCCCATTATGCTGTAAGTGCAGCAGCAAAGCCAGCACCACTGCTGACATCCACCCCAATATCTTAACTTATTATTATAAATGGAACTTCTGTGTCCCCACAACAACCCAAGCTGGGTGCCTTGTAGCACTTTATTTTTTTAAGAAAAGGGAAATACGCCTTTTCTTATTTTCTAGATCAAGGAATTATTCTTATAAATAACATCCTTGTTGTCATTAGAGAGAGATGTATTAATTTGATGGACTGTGATGTAATCACCTGCAACTAGTGATTTTATATTAAAGCTTTTAAGGAAGCAGCACCAGAAAGGATGCTGAGAATGATATTCTTGCATCACTGCCAAGCACCTTGCACCATGAACTGTGTTCAAATGCAGCCTCATAATACAAATGGAAATGTATCTCTGCCTTTATTTTCCTCATGTACTCTTTAGTGTCATTGTGTACAGATAGAATGATGTTCTGGGTTCACTTTTTCTGGACAGTATCTCTTCCTTTCAGTGTTATCTTGAGAATTAAAAATGTTCATTGTGACAATGTAATTTCATAACATATATATATTATGGTAATGAATATATATGTATGTGTATATATATATATATATATACACACACACACATATAATTTGTAAAATCCAGCAATCAAAACCCATTCCCTACAGAGCTCACCACATGATTAGGTTTTATCAGAATAATTGTGGTACATATTTTGTGAATAGAAAGCATCAGAAATGACTTTCAAGAGGAAACCCTCCGTTATAAGTCTGTATCACAGCATGACTGTGCCCACCATTCCTAATCCCAAGTGCAATGTGAAGTATGCATTTCTGATTCTGATACTAGTTGTTACAGTCACGATTCTGTGTTGCAGGTGGACTATTCTATAATAGCATCACAAGCTGGCGCCACCCTCACCAACCTCATGAGTCATGCACAGGAGCTGGTGGGAAAACTTCGGAACCTACAGTTGGATCAGCGAGAGTTTGTGTGTCTAAAGTTCTTGGTGCTCTTTAGTTTAGGTAAGAAATCTGTTTCTCATACTAAGTACAACCAAACATTTCTAAATGGGGCCAAGTACTGAGTGTCTTAAAGTCAATAGTTATGTTTCTGTTCGGTCAAGGTAATGCCTTTTCTTTCAAATCATGAAATCTTCAAGGGTGAGTCTGTCTTCATATATATTTCTATATGATTCTTCGCCTGTCAGTGGATAGGTTGGGATGTGGAAAAAGAGTTAATTCAGTTGGAGTCCTGGATTTTCTTCCATAATGGGCAGATAAGCAATAGTCAAGTAAATGTACGACAGAGAATCCATGGAGATAGTGTAGGAACAATGCATGGTATCAGATTTTAGCCATCTTGCTGCTATTGATTGTGTCTGCGTGCCTTTTGTTTCAGTTTGCTACCTTCTGCTGCTTTTATTCTTCTAAAATATGGATAATAATTAGAAGCCTGTTTTTAAAATCTCTATCAGGATTAACTAGAGCACGTTTATAGCCAGATGCACCATGATGCAAGAATAAAGGATGACAGTTGTCAAGGGGAAAGATGCTTCTTTAGCAAAGCTTTGGAGAAGAAAGATAACTAAGCAAGACAGATTAGCTAAATCAAGGTTCTCAGTGAGCCAGTTGAGAAAAATCACCACTGCTTGGAATAAAAAAAGGATTAAGGAGATGGATTTTTATTGACTTCAAAGGAACAGATTTTTCTGCCTGTCCCTTGCTTGATTTCTGTATTTTGTTGGCTTAATAAAGCCAACTTAAATAAACTTTTTGCCAAGTCCATTTATTCTCCATTGACAGACAGCTGAGGGAGGCAACTTCCCTTGAATGAAAAAAAAATGCAGAAATCAGATTTACCAACATATGTTTTTTCTTTAGTCTTCAGTTATAAGAAAGTTGCAAATTCATATCCTAAGAAATAAAACAATAAAACAAATTGCAAAGTAAAACAGATGTGTCTGCTCTCCAAATTGGGCACTTTAGATTAAAAATCCCTCTTGACAGCACTGCACAACTGTTGCTAATAAAGAAATAGTTTGAAGTCATAGAAACAGAGTTAATTTTTCACATGTAGTCAACATTTAAAATAAAAAGAACATTTTCATATTTTGGAAAGTGTGATAAATATAGCGAAAAAAATATTACTGAAAATTTACAAAGACAACAGTATTTTATAGATGTGGTGTTCAAAAGTTTGCAGTGCCAGGACTGGATCCTGTGTGGTTTATGCATCCATCACAATAAACAGGAAAGTTCCATTCAAGTAAGTCTGCCCCTGATCCAACAACCGCTGCTAGCGAATCCAGAGTAAAATAGCTTGGCTGTAATCTGGCAATCATTCCAGTTTATGGCAAATCTTAGCCTTTTCAACTGGTACATTTGATCAGTAATTAAATGGAAAATGTGGTAATAGGTGTGTCAGAAATCTCAGAGCATCTTAGTGATAAAACATTTAGAGTCCTCCCACTTCCAAGGTATTTTAAATCAGCTCCCGGACTGGATGATAGCTAAAGATGTACATATGCGGCACGAGCCACCGTCAGTTCTCATCACTTCTATGTTGGCTTTCACTCTTTCCCAAAATTATTATGTCCTCTGCCAGTCGGGGGTAGATCTGATATGCTTTCAGCCTTTGAACCTTACTGATCATCTTCCTAAACGACAGCACTGACCCGAACCTCAGTCACACACTCTGTCACTTAATGGGTATATCGACTGGGTCAGGGAAGTGGGGCATCAGCAGCCGAAATGTCGCTTAAAACCATGTGTACTTGTCTTTCTCTCTTCCTTCCCACCCACCCCCTTTTTTGTGGTGCTGGGGATCAAACCCAAGGGCTCCCACATGCTGAGTGCATACTCTATCACTGAGCCACATCCTCGCTCTCTAAAGAGTTCTACACTTGTTTAAGGATGAGGGTTTGACCAAGGGTTGGGTCTTTTTTGTTTGGTTGGTTTTTATTTTTTTGGGACAAGGTCTTGCTAGGTAGTTCAGGTTGGCTTTGAACTCACTGTGTAGCCCAGGCTGGCCTAAAAACTCGAAGTGATCCTCCTGCCTTAGCCTTCCTGATGCTGGGGTTACAGGCGTGCACAACCACACCTGGCAAGAGTTTGTTTTTAAAGAAGCAGGGGAAAACTAACTGGCCACAAAATTTAGGTAGTTTCCAACTTATGAGTCAAAAACTCTCTTCCCTATAGAAACAATAGATATTGATCTTTTTCAAAACTTTCAACTTTATTGAGCTTCATGAATAGTAGTCAACCTTTAGAAACCCAAGCTTGTTTTACCTGTGAATGAAAAAGAACCATACAGAGTCACCCTTAAGAGCCCAGTCCAAGTCCTAAGCCTGCTGTCTGTCCCATGAATCTTGAGCCTCCTGAATGTGAAACCAGGTGTGTTCTGATCTTAAGTCACCCTTCAGCGTTCATCCTGAAAAAAAATGAGAGGCCGGAGCCACATTGAGATGGCTGCCGAGGCGGTATTTCCATGTGAACGACGAGCCAGCCTTCCCCAGACAGTTTGCTGAGAGGAGGTAGGGTGGGGTGAAATCCTGAGCAGGTATAGAGTTCCCAGCCTGAGCAGTGGCCCTGCCAGTGTTGGAAGGCAGGAGCACAGGATGGGTGGGGAGCAGCAGCTCATGGATGCACATGGCCTGAGGGACGGAGTGAGCGAAGGGCAGAGGCCAAGGAGGGCAGGCAAGAGCCTGGCCAAGGGAGCACAGGCCTCAGATCCACTCAACAAATGCTTCACGGAGCACTTACCATATGTCAGATGCCCAGGTCGGTGCCGGGGAGACAGGGGCTCTTAAAACAGGTGCAGCGGTGGCTGGGGTTGATCTGCATTTCTGGTAGTGAGGTGGAAAGATCCGACCACTTCATGGGGACAGGAATGAGGTGAGGGAGATGGATTCGTTGGAGGCTACAAACCACACGATGTGACAGGGTTGGAGGCGGGAGATCTAGGATGGGCCTCTGGGCTCTGGATGCTTAGGGAGAAAGAAAAATCTGCAGAAACAGCAGCTGACGGTTGAGGCAAAGTAAGTTCCAGGCACAGCCCTCTTCTCATCCCCTGCAGTCATTTTTCACTGACCCTGACTCCCAGTTCTAGGAGAAGCTAAATAACAGGGCTCAAATAAAAAGTCTTCCCTCCTGTCTGATTCCCAGCTGAATCAGTGACCAAACATCACTTGGGTAAGCTGTTCAAAAAGGAAGAGTAAGAAATTCTCTCACACATTCTCTTGTTCTCCCTCCCTCTCCCTGGTATACAGCGCTCTGTGTAATAGACCCGGGAGCCTCAGCCTGTGCTTATTGTAATGTGTTCTTGGGTTCTGCCAAGTTACCATGTTTTGTTGCCTGGCTGAGGTCATTGAATTGTGTTCACTGATAACATGGCGGAAAAGGAGATATTCTGAGTTGGCCAGTTAAAATTCATGACCCAAGAGAGGCCAAAATATCGTTTTTAATGTTTATTCATTCATTTTTTTTACTCCCACCCTCACACAAGGAATCAAAGTGACTGATGAAAGGAACTTTACAGTCTGTCACTCATCAGTGGAAAAATAAATCCTACAGAGGAAGTGACAGTCGTGATTCTCTGTCATTATGTATGCATTTCAGATAAGCAGAATTCCCACAAATTTGTTACCTCCTGCAAACAAGGGCACAATGGAAAAGCAATGACTTAGTTCTAAAATGCAGCCAGACACAGAGACTCACACCTGTAATCTCAGGAGGCTGAGGCAGGAGGATTGCAGTGAGTTCAAGGCCAGCCAGGGCTACATGGTGAGTTCAAGGGCAGCCTGAACTACATAGCAAGACCCTGCCTTAAAAAAACCCTCCCCCCAAAAGGCAGCATCTTGAATAATGTCACTACATGTTCAAGCCCATCAAGAATATTAATGTGATTTCAATACTCAAAGCAACAGGTAACCAGCGTGTGCCAGCTAAGATGCCATCCAGATGTTATTTGGCCTGGAGATTTTCTTAGCCTGGAGACTCAATAGCTGGATGTTGCTGGACTTTTATTTTAAATATCCCAGGCGGCAAAAGAAAGAACTAGAAGCACATTATATCCTATTTTCTCTAATGAGTATCTTTGATTTGTTGTAAATAATTCTCTTTTCTGGTCAGCCAGTACTTCTGAAAGCATGTCTTATATGTAACTGAGTTACACCAACTGCTGTTTTCTTTGAGGAGTTTTCCCAAGTCAAGAAAGTGGCTAATGTTTTGTTCACATCCCTTTATATTTGTTTTTTGTTTTTGGTACCGGGGATCGAACCAGGTCCTTGCGGTTGCGAGGCAAGTGGCGGAACCACTGAGCTAAATACCCAGCCCGGTTCACATCCCTTTAAACTTACACTTTCTAGATCCACTGAATGGCACTGGTCTGCTTTGCAACTGGTTCTGTGCGGTAGAATTCAGTGCTCTGCCTCCACTGAAGTTGGACATTGTCCTTTACATTTTCTCACTACACCAGGTTTTAGAACATTGCTTGGTACACTGGTACAGAGTAAGGACCCACAAAATGTTAACTAATAAAATACATGAATAAATGGATTTATTTAAACTCAAAACCAAGCCTTTACCAAAGTAATCATGGTAGGGGATTAAAGGTAATTTAGCCAAAAAGTCGCATTTCAAGTGCAGGCGAGTTTCCTGAGACTGTTTTTTCCAAAGAGCTCTCTGACTCACCTCTGCTGTCCGTTCTCATTCTCCCAGGTTATGAGAGGACATGTTTGTGTGTAAGGTCTGTGGAGTACTGACTTGCAGAAAAAATACTGGTGGCTAAAATCGGGTGACATCGTACTTCTGCTACAATCGAATGAAGGACCAGAGCCTTTCATTCAGCCTGTGATCAGAAACAGTAGTTGAGGGGTGTTTGACACCTTCTCCCTGTCCTGGACAGAGTCTTGTTTCTAGTACAACGAATGGGAGGTATCTTAGCTTTATTCATGTGGATGCTCCTTGCTTCATACCAGCTCTTCATTGTGCGGAGATGGCATTTGGTTATACCTTCACATGGC